CACACACACACCCACACACACACACACACACACACACACACACACACACCTTTAGTTCCCCCTTTCCTTCCTCTTAGGGTCCGTGGGTCAGTTCCTCCTTCTCTTATAACAGCCATGGCCTTTTGAAAATTCTCTTCCCGAAACTCTCCCTAATAGAACAAAAAATTAACAGAAATTGAAAAGGCTGGAGGCTTCTCATGTTACCAGACAAAATAAACTTTTAAGTATACATATAAATTTAGTAATAACAAAGAAAGCCTGAAATAAATTTTCTAGCTAAGATTGATCCTTTGCACCCTAACATCAGCATGTACATTCCCCCTACTGTTCACAATTCACTTTTTTAAATTTGTTGAACAATACATACATACATACATTAGTAGACCACTCCCCATGGGGGCTTTTCAAGTCCAATTCCCACCCATCCCACCCCAGGGGAGGACATCCACTACACAGTAATCTCGTGCGTGGGAAATTAACGACTCCTACCCCTAACCCTGCAGGAGACGGGGCCTGCGGTTTATTCGTCCTTATCCGAGAAGACTTGAATATTTATGCATTTTTTTATTTTAGAAAGGTAGCAAATTCTCCTCACTTATTTTAAGACCATGAGTATCAGTCCGGCCAGGGCTCGAACTCCCAACCTCCCGCACAACACAATCCGGCACTCTAACCGGTTAAAGAGCTTCTTTAGCTGGTGATCATTTCCTTTATTCTCCTGACCTTAATGTTTGATTCAGGGGTGATATTGTAAGGAGAAATTAGTTGTTAGTCACTCATAGGGGGTGTTGAAGGGTTAAACCTTCACGTACATGACTTGACTGTCATGTGAGATCATTTACACCAAAAAATTACCATGCATACAGGTCAAGAGGAAAACAAAAGACAGAAATTCATGATATAGCCCCCAAATGAGGAAAAACCATTTCAGGAAAGCATGGTGTAGATGGTAAAGAGAAATAGATGTCCAAAAATAGAAGTATACCCTAAATACTTCAATCTTTCCATACCAGCAGCAACATACCCATTGTTGCCTGATGTGAAGCCTTTTTCACATCCCTTTATGGATCAAACACATACCTTTTCATCTTCAACAAGGAAAAGACCATCTCCACCAGCTGGGTAAATGTAATGTTGAAGAGGTGTTGGCCTGAAGTCTGTATAAACCACATGACATGGCTGCAAAACAACAAACATGCATTACATATCATTCTGTGCAGAACACATCTAATGAACCATTACTGGATGAGGTTGGGAAAAGTAGGTCGGTATACATTTACTTTGATACTGACAAGGAGGGCTTGTTCAACAGTCAAAGCTTCTTAGGTTTGCAATACTTTCCTTGATTCTTATAATCTTAATGAATGATTCAGGAGTATTACAGCAAGGGAAAATATGAGACCGGGTACATAGCCATTTATCCCATGACTCAGAATGCATATTCTTCATACTGTTCTCTATACATTTCCTAAGGTGCTGACAAGGAGAATTTGTTTAACAATCAAGAGCTTCGTTGGTTGGTGATCATTTCCTTAATTCTTGTAATCTTAATGTGTGATTCAGGGGTGATATTGTAAGGATAAATTAGTTGTTAGTCCCTCTAAGGGGTTTAAGGGCTAAGGAATAAAGGGGATAAGTTTCTAAGGAAACTGTGGTGCTGCGTCAGTGGGGGTAACAAGGAAATTTCGTTATATTAGCTAAGTTGAAATTGTGAATTGGCCACCATGAAGAGTTAAAAAGCTGACATTTCAAGCGTTAACCCTTCATAGAGTGAAAAATTTAGCCCTTTGTCAGAGTGAAAGTTTCCCTCTGATGAAGGGCTAACACTCAAAACATCAGCTCTTTAACTATTCATGGAAGCAAATTCACAATTTCAACTTAGTTGATATAATAAAGTTAAAGGGCTGTTTAGAGGGTTAAATGCAGCTTAGCTCAAAAGGACTTGAGTAACTGTCCAGCTAAACCCATAAGATTTAGTGAACCATATAATTCTAACTAAGACAGCTAGCTTGTTTGTTTGCCACCATAAAATACACTCAGTCTGTAGATGTGTGGTTCCAAGTTCTCTACAACAACTAAACCATCTTAAAAAAGAAATCATTTAATCCAGCAGAGAAGCTGATGTCTTGATAAGAAAGGTGCTGACAATAATTTGTTTACCTGTTTGTGGAGGTGTGCAATCCATTCAGCAAACTGTCTGGCATTTGGAATTGTAGCAGAGAGAAACACATAATGTACATTGTCTGGAAGAAGAATGATGGTTTCCTCCCACACCACACCTCGTTCTAACAACAAAATGAAAACTAGGTCAAGAATCATTAAAAAAAACGTAACAGTCACAGAAAGGGACGGTTACTCAAGCAAGGACCAACCCAAGCAATGGACCTCAGGCATTTGCTATCAGAGGGTTGATTTAATTAAATAAATGTCCTTCAACTGTTAGCTTTTGGCCCTCTTGACAGAGTTTACAAAAATAAATGTTCAGATAAAAGGTTCAGCTAAAGAGAAGATAGTTTAGAGTGCAGTTTTGTATAACAACAGCTAAACTTTGTTTAAATAACTGGCCCTAAATTTAAACCCTGAGTGATTTCAAATCAAAAACCAATACACTATCTGTATAATCATGATTATCAGTATCATTATCAAAAGATTCACTTTAATTCGTGTACACCCACCTTTATCATCTGTATAATCATGATTATCAGTATCATTATCAAAAGATTCACTTTAATTCGTGTACACCCACCTTTATCATCTGTATAATCATGATTATCAGTATCATTATCAAAAGATTCACTTTAATTCGTGTACACCCACCTTTATCACGCATATAGTGAATCTCATCAAAGACAACCCACGCTACTTCCCTCATGACCTATTGGTGAAAGTAAAGACAAACACTAGATTTCAGTTCTACATGTAAGTAGAGACCTCCCAAAGCTTTGTCATCATACTCAAAAGGAGTGAAATTTCAGAACCAGCTTCATTCATTGATTGTTTTGCCCCCCACGATTGAACAAAAAGTAATTTCTCCTTACATCCCAAAGAAAAATATCAACAAGAGAACATTATGTAATTTAATCCTTAAACTCCCTGCATGAGTGACCAGACAGATTTTCTCATTACAATAGCAATGTCAAGCAGACAAGTGCTGAGAATATAGCAAAATATCAATAAGGGGATTATTAGTTGATCCAACAACAAATTCTCCACACTTGCATCATAGGAATTGTATAGGAGCATTTAATAAGAAGACCTTGGGGAAAGCTTTACAGAAAAGACCAATGAAGAAGTGTCCTGTTAGAACTTGAGAGTGAAAGAATCAATTCAAACACTCTCAGAAATACTTCATATAATGGCAGTTTTCTATCTGATTCCTAACCTCAGAGCCTCTGTACAGCATATTTCTCAAAATCTAGAAGCAATCACAAGTCAAGTATCAGACAAAAAAAAACTGAAAAAATTTTGTAAAATACTTCATCAACAACTTGTTGCATGAGATACAAATCAATGTTCAAAATAATGAAGCTTCATTCCATATGTAGTCGACATTTTCTGTAAGTGAGCCAACTAACACTGGCCTTCCCATAACATCCCTGACGGAACAACTCATTTTTAAAAGCAGTTATTGTTAACCAGAACCATGAAACTCTCAGATACAAAACAACTCAAAAATGTACCTCTGTGGTCATGACTAAGGCACTTGCACTGGGATTTATTGTCACATCTCCTGTCATAAGACCAACATCCTGGAACTCCTCATACAACTCACGGTATTTTTGGTTACTGAGAGCCTTGCAAAACATTGCAGAACAAACAATAATGATTAAGTGCTCTACAACTCATGGGTGGTATGATTGTTTGGTTGATGTCACTGGCAATCTTCCTCATTTCCAAATTTAAAAGCCGCATGTCCCCAACTTTTAAATGTGAAAGCCCTCCGAGAGAGGTCAAATAACACATTACCACTGCAAACAGAGCCAGTTGCCCATGAACAATAACTCCATTCTAACATCAAAATGTGGTTACCAAATTTCCCATCATGCCTCACTCAACTGAAAATCATAGTATATAAACTACAAAATTAGATAACTACAATAAAACACATCTAACAGATTTTAGGAGAATCCTTTTATGGAGGATTTCTGGGGCAGATCCAGGTTTCAATCAAGGGGGGTTTGGAGAATTGTCCAAGGGCATGCTCTCCAGGGAGATTTTGAAAATTAGGTCTTTGGAAACATGATTTCCAGCATTTGACAATTAAGAGAGTTCAACTGAACCACCTGGACCACCCTTGGATCCACCTCAGGATTTCAGTAAAAGATAGATATTTCTTTTTCAAGCGCAATTAATCCAAATTTCTAAAATTAAACTCATCGGCACTGATGAGCTTGGAAGAAGGTGCCGTAGCACCGTGGCAGTCGCGCTGACTACCCACAGCAGGGAGGTTACCATGGCAACACAACCTCGGTCCACCCCCCTGGCACCCGTCACATTGACAAGTCAGTGGAATTGTTTTATACTTACTTGCTCTTGGCCCGTCAAAGAGGAGGGAGGGTGGGAGCACCAGAGGCGGCTCACGTTAGGATTCGCGACAATCTCATAATATCGTGAAATTTTATTGTATTTTGTAGGGCTCTGTGCACTTGACTAATACTTTAAAATTCTTTCGCAGCAAAATGATGCCACTTCACATTTACAAAACATACTGAAAACCTCGTGACCCTGCAATTGCAAAGGGGATGCCCCGCAGCATGCCCTCTGCTGACCATCATGCCTTGATTTTAACCTTGCCTAAATTTCATTTAGCCTCATTTAAACAAAAGTAAGGAGGGGGTTATAGCATTGCATGGAGAGAAGAAGGCCAGTTTCGGTTCCAGTTACCTAGAGTTTCAAGAAACCAGTAATTTTAAAAAGCAGGATTCTGCTCCACTCCTTTCTTACCTTGATAGGTGTAGTGTAAATTACTCTCTGCTTGTTCTTAAGAGACATTGCAATAGCATACCTAACAACAATAACCAACGGTAGTTTATTTACAATGTACACACTGTGCTAAGCTGAAAGGAAGTAAAATGGCTTAAAGGTTAGTTTCCAAATTAGAGCTCTGGTCGAATGGTCCAGGTTCAGGCCCTTGAGAGAAACTCTCCAAAATAAATTTATGAGGAAATATATAGTTGCTGTTAGTGAAAATCTACTGCTCAGGCAGGACTCGAATGGGACAGGGGGGACAGGATAGAAGGCTACAAGAAAGTTTGACAATTGCTTGAATCTTTGTTCACAAATTCTTTATAACAGTATCGTATCAAAGTCACTGTCATTGTCTCTTGCAGGACATACATATATACAATCCACCAAGGTTGTCTGGCATCAGTCACTACTACCCAAAAACAGTCTGTCTCAAGACTTTATGTACCCTCACCTAAATGATCAGAATAATAATTGTACTACCAAAGAGTACCCCCAAGTTTAATGAAAGGTTATGTTCACAAAGTAAAGTCCTTACTCTGCCACAACTGTTTTTCCAGCTGATGTATGAGCAGACACTAAGACTGACTGATTGTTTTCCAAACATTTCACAGACTCTTTCTGAAAGGGATCCAATATGAAAGGATACTCCTGAAAAAGATTCAAAATTACATTTGGTTTTGTATTATTACTTGTCTATAAAAATTGTTTTTTAAGAATGAAGAATAATCTGTGAAATTTGCAACAATTTAACCCACAAAATTGTGACACAATCCTGTTCTATCTATTACTATAAGTAAGCTTAAAAAATAACTCTTACCTTGGCTGGTTTTGTTGCCTTCTTCTCTAATGGGACATATTCACATCCTTCTGGAACTGCCACCTTAAGAAATTGGAAAATTTTACATGTCACCCATAGTTCATGGTTTTTTGCTTGCATTCTGATTATGTACATTATCAGGATAAATCAGGCTACTGTGACTAAGTTATGGTGCCGATTATTCTTGGTTTAGATTTTTCTAGCAAGTCTAATTCTCAATTTCCTACATTTATGATCACGACAATAAAAGTAAGTGGCAAATGAAAGTAAAAAAACAAACTGACCTGAAAAATCTTGAACCACACAAATATTTAACTCAAAACATACACATGCACTCTTAAAGTTGATTAATAAAATAATGACAAAAAACAAAGACTGTTCCTGTGAAAACTCACCTCATGAGTACAGGCTTCGATAGTTTCAACATTTAAGACATTGACACGGGGAATTGTCTCCAGAAGACTTCATGACAAATAAATAGAAAAAAATATATAGAAAGACAAAGTAACTTTACTTTTTCTTAAACTAATGCCGCAATTCTTATGACCCTTTGTCTTCTTTAAGCAACTTTGAGCTGTATCATCAGAATACATTGTGTACTCACAAGCACCAGTCTTCATCTATAAAAAGAAAGGCTCAATGTCTTCTAGGGAATTTCACTTACATCACCATATCACCTGATCTTCTTATAGAGCCCGAAACTACTTTGCTTTAATTTCCCAAGTTGTAAGTGATTGACATAATTTATTGTATACTTTATTGATATATCTTTAAAGTGTTTTTTTTTTTTTAACAAAACAATGGTAACTGTTATTCTCTCAGTGCCCAAAGCACTACAAGGTAATAAAGTCCTTCTCTGTCAAACATTTCTATTTCTATGAACATTCCTCTGCACTTTTTCATGTCTTTAGTTCACATACACAAGCCGTAGTAAAGAACAGGCCACCAACAGGCCGCCAAAAATTGGCCAACGACACACAACCAACAGTCTACCTGTGCGACTGTTCTTCACCTGTTTGTCGCCCAAACACAGATAAACTGTTCAGGTGCGTAGCATCCTCTATGCATATACGCACGTGCATACTTGAAGTGACCAGAAAAATTTGAAAATAATGTTGTGTTTGCGCCAAGTTTGCTCAAAATAAGGGCAAGACGCTTTGTTCTTTGCTTGTATTCACACGACTATTTCAAACAAGAAATAAAGAACGCAGTATTTTTCACTCAGTTTACTTAGGTTTCTTAGCCTGCGAAGCAAGCCCTGGGGGAAAGGAGGGGTGATTGGGGTGAGCAGAGCAAGCGGAATATGCAGAGAGGAGAGGGAGGGAGGGCTTGCCACAGACCCCTACTAACCAACAAAATTTCTGATCTCGTATGGACGAAAAATTCCCATTGGCTGAGAGCAACACGTTGTCAATCAGCCCTCGAACTAAACAATCTTCATGGCGACTACCTTTTAGAAAATGGCGGACGACGGTGATTTCGAGAAGTTCTGCCCTCAAGAATCAATGTCCAAGTAGAATATTTGTGGCAGCCATCCACTTGTTCAAGCTCAGGGCGTTAATAAGAATGGCATCTTCATTCTCAAACTTGCCCGAACCACAACATTGCAAAGCCAATGGACGTTGGATCCAAATTATCAATGTTTCAATTTGTATCCTTCGTTATAGTCGAGGGTTGTCCTTTTGTTGGCGAGTCAAACAACACTTCCCTGCTAGAAGTAGGTTTTGCATGTGCTGGGGAGTGGACACGCAAGCTCTTTCTACCTGGACATTTTCCTGTCTGTGTTGAGAACTTTGTTTTGACGAAACATCGCGGGAATCGGGACATTGAGAAGCGGCCTGATTCAACATTTCATAAAACTGGCAAAAACTGTTGGCTTTTCTTGCACAATTTGATTCTTAAATCTACTCCACAAAACCGGCAAACTACGTCTTCTCGATTAACTTTTGGCTTTCTCCCTCTCTTAGATTTTGATACCAAATTCTCCTTGTCGTCCGACATTTCTCACTTGCACGGAGCAAGTTTTAGTTGTTGTTTTGATAGTTTGCATGGTTCACTGTTAACAGCGCTTTCTGATTGGTTAATTTTGAGAGGCGCTGATTGACATATGCAAGACGATATGATTATGAAAAGTAGGGGGCGTTTCGTTGGTTAGAGGGGGTCTATGGCAAGCCCTCCCTCTCCCCTCCGCACATTCCTCTTGCCCCAATGCCCCCTCCTCTCCCCCAGGGCTTGCTTCGCAGGCTAAGGTTTCTAGATCATATGTACTTGTGCGTACTTGAAAAAATGACCACGCTACGCGCCTGCTGTTTCGTTGTTTCACCACTCGTAAACTATCATCCAACAAAAATCTAAAGTTCTACCTTTACATGTTACTCATCTTTTCAAATATAAACGAAATAAAGTGCAAACAGACAAGATTCACCTATCTACATCGTCAACTTTTACTTTCTTCGCTCCAGCACCATCGAGGTCGATAACATCCGGTGTAAATTCTCTTTTTTCCCCACTACTTGACTTTCCTGTGGACGTCGATGGACCAGCAGTTTCCTTCTTCCCTTTTTTATTGTTTTTGTCGGATTTTATGTCCGAATCGTCTTCGAAAACAGCAAAGATATCATCTTCACCAAAAGCATCCGCCATGTTTCACGTGTGTGACTGGGTATGACAGCTGACCGTTCGTGATCGTTAAATATTCTCCCAGCCCCATCCCCGGAGGGGTGCCCAAGCGTGAAAGGGATTCATTTGGTAATTTTTTCTTCCAAACTACATTTCAATACTCCGATTGATGATGACCTCGATTATATCTGCCAAAATTATCTAAAATAGCATTATATAGCCTCCCAGCCGGTGTCTCTTTTAGCCTGAATAATGGTCTTGGCCGGTTACAAATGTTCAAACACATAAAAACCCCGAACATAAGGTGGCCCAAAAGTGCCACGTCAATTTCAATTTAAACACGACAATTTCAATTTGACCACAGCAACTTCAAGTTAACCACGGCAATTTCAATTTGATCACGGCAATTTCAGTTTAAACACGGCAATTTCAATTTGACCACGGCAATTTTTTTTTCTTTTTTTTTTTTTTAAAGGGAAGCCTTTCGACTTCTGAGAACAAACTCTTCTGAAATAACGTTCGAAGACAAGCTTTCAAAATGTAAATCGCGCCTTATCACGCTCGGATACCCTTAAAAAACTAATACGAACAACACTAGTAGATGTTAGCTTTCCCACAAAACAGTCGGCCCTTCCACAAAAGAAAAAACGCGAAAACAAATCTTGCCTTTTGTCACAACATACCAGCCGTCAGTGCGGCAATTTAAAAAAATACAGATGCAAAACTGGGATTTACTACAAAATCAGCCTTTGCTGAAAAGCATCTTCAGAAATCCACCTATTACAGCCCAAAAAAGCGGTAGATCTTTGAAAGACATGCTGTAAGAGCCAAATTATGAAAGGCACATTCAACGGGATCAAATTGAAATTGCAGTAGTCAAATTGAAAAAAACGGACTTTAAGCAAACCACGACGGCTACGGCAACGAGAACATGGAAAAACAATAGATCTAATTGGCAGAACAATAGCCCAGCACGTGCGTAAACTTTGTACATTTCTTAGCCGTTCTTTGCAACTGAACAACAACGTGAAATCACCAAAATTTGCGTCGTCTGCGAAGCGAAACCGCGGCGGCAAATTATTTTAATTTACATTTGGAACTCCACGCTACTTTTATGCGTCATGTTAAGTTTGAGGTCTGGCGCCCTATGAGACGGTAAACACATGCAGCCATTTTCGAAATTCTAACTAAAAGTAGAAACTCATTTTTTAATCGACGTCTTCCGTGGCGTTGCCGTCCTGACTGCTTAAAGTCCCTAATAATAATTGCTGTCGTTAAATTGAAGTTGACGTGATCAAATTGAAATTGCCGTGGTTCAGAAATTAAAGTTGCCGTGGTCAAATTGAAATTGCCGTGGTTAAACTGAAATTTCCGTTGTCAAATTGAAATGCCGTGGCACTTTTGGGTCACCGTAAGAACCTCTATTGATGCTGTTCGAATAGGCTTCTGCAGTGGAAAAAGGGAAGATTTCCAGGAGGAAAATGTTAATGTTGAAGTGTTTGACCTCTCTGTGGGAGATTCAGACTTGAGCTTTTTAAGTCAAAGCCTGTGAAACTACGCGATTTCAGACTCAAAGGTTTTTGCTGGCGAGCCGGGCTAGCGAGGCAGCAGCCTCAGTGTATTCTTTACAATAGCGAGAAAAAGCCAAAATTTGTCGGATGTAAGATCAGAGACATGCGCAATGGATTGTGTTTTTTTTATATCGGTGTGGTTGTGATGACATCACGTAAAACGCACTGTGGAAATATCAATCGATTTCGAGCAACAGGTGTGTACAGCTGTCCCGCTCTACTAGAAATCAAGGACACGATAAATGAGGTGAGTTTTTGATATAAATGTCAGTCTTTAATTTCTTGTGGAAGTATCAATCAAGGTCATGAACCGTTTAGTGATGACTCTGGAGGAAGACAAGAGATATTTATGTGTTTGGCTGCTCTTTTATGTGAGCAATTTTTGCCGATTCGCGGACGGGAGGTGCCAAGATATCGATCAAGTCCTACTCCATGGAGATAATTTTTTTTCTCAGTACATTCAGCAGCAGGGAAGTGTCAGGCAAAATCGCTTCCATTCGGAATAAACTGCTGACATGCAGCTTGCGGGTCTCGGGAGAAAAGAGAGGTAGGTGTGAAGCCAACCTGCTTTATGTCGAAAGCGACTTCGGTACCACAGGCAAATTATTCATAGTGTTCCGTTTATTTCAAATCGTATTATCAGCACTTCCTTCGAGCTCTGACGCCAGCACCCACTTTCACATTGAAACTTCTAGTTTGATAAATAAATAAATAAAAAATTAAATCATCAATACAACCTTTCAAAAACGCCACCTATATTTACAAACTAAAGCAGCTATCCCATTGCTATTCTTCCTTTATACTTATCGACTTATCTTTATTGCACTGTGTCACTAAGCAACCTTGTGTCTCGGAGAAGTATGTTTGCATGGTAAAAACTACAAAAAAATATTATAATTTCTATTATCGCAAGCACCCTGCCTTTGGCAGAGTGTTAGCTTGTGAGCTAAGGTTCAGATCTACTTGCCAGCGTTTTATTAGCACTGTAAATCTCCTTTGCTAGTATTGTCTGTTATTAGGAGGTGAGCTATTGACTGATAAGTGGACTTGATGGCAAAGTCACAGCTCAAGAAAACAAGTACATTTCCAAGAGGTAAGTGTTTTAAATCAACGACGACTTCTGCGGGGCTAAGTGCGAACCGAATTTCATCATGTCCTTTGTGCCCTAGCATGAAAACTGACGACGGGATGGTTTAAATAATTTGGCCCTAATAACTATTCTGATCGACCTGGCTTGGAACTGTGTATGTTGCGGATAGCAAAAAGGAGGTCCTGATCGCGTTTCACGCACGAATTTTAGAAAAATTCACGCGTCACGATTAAATACAACATTTTACGCGTGTATGGTCACGGAAAAAAGGGGAAACTTGAAACCTCCTTTTAACTTGTCTTTCGGCAAAATTCACGCGTCACGCAAAAATTTTGAGCGTAATCACGGATCACCTATAAATCGTATAACTCACTTTAACTTATGCAGGCGTTTTAGGACGAAAGAAATATTAATACCCTTAATTTACCTCAACCTTTCAAAAAGGTGTGCATGTCAAATCAGAGCTTTTACATCTTTAAAAGGATTTTCAATCCCTTTTTAATTGAGGAATGAATGATTACAAAAGAACTATCAGCTTTCACTGGAAAGAGATATATGTTGGATAAACCAAATGTATTAAGTAAGTTACGGAAAGTGTTCCGGTTCCAGGCCATAAATTATTTACCACCTGGTTGGGTGCCCTGTGGCAATCAACTCCTGAAATGCAATTTCATAATCCCTTCCAGTTTTCCCCCTTCTTTCCTTTTCTCAGTTTTAAGGAAATTTCGATCTTGCTTTAAACTGAACGTTCCCATGCTCGTTTTGCGTTTCTGATTTCCTTTTTTTTATCTACAGGTTAAAGATGAGGACGAGAAATTTCCTTAAATATTGGCTAGCACTTCTAGGTGTTTCACAGGTTGTCCTGGGCTACGTATTTTACACATTGCATGTTAAAACATACCGTGGTAAACAGTCGATTGTGAAAAATGAACAAGGCACATATATTCAGATTCCTTCTCCACGTGCTGCAAGAAAAAGCTTAATAGTTTTTGGTCAGGATCGCTCTGGGACGACCTTTGTAAGTGCAATGTTTGCAAACGATTCACAAATATTCATGGTTTACGAACCTCTCTGGATAACTCAAAGATGGTTTTTCCATGAAAACCAGTATTACCATCGCTGCATAAATTGTGAACTTCAGGTTGTAAGTTCCCTTGTGGCTTGTAACTTTACACGCTCACCCGTCTCGACAAAATTTCTATCTTATGTTTCAACGCCCTGGACAGGTGCTCTGCCAGTTAACATTTTTAATACGCCAAACTTTTGCAACAAGACTGGGGAAGTAAGGAATGTAGATTGTTCCGAGCTTGGAAAAGACCCGGAATTTGTGGATCATGTTTGCAGTACAAAGTACAAACACAGCGTTGTTAAGGTAGCACCCACCAGGTTACCTAAAAAAAAACTGGCTGATTTAATTCCACGAGTTTTACTGGAAAATCCCGATATAGACGTACGTGTATTACATCTAGTGCGAGATCCTCGAGGTAACATTAATTCTCGAATTAATTTAAACTGGGTCAAAGATTATCCTAACCCAAAACTTCCATCAATTGCAGCAGACCTATGTGGTTTAATTCTTATCAATTTATATCATGCACATAACACATTGACAGATTTAGGACTCAAACACAAGTATAAACTAATTTTGTACAAGCAGATTTCAGATGATCCCTTAGGAACTGCCAAGGAAATTTATGACTTTGCTGGATTTGATATGCCATTAGAGACAAAAAAATGGATATTAGAGACAACAAAACCGAGCGAGGAAAAACTTAAGAAAGAACTGGAGAAACCGTATTCTATAGTGCGGAACGCTTCAGGCAACGCGGATAAATGGAGGCAAGATGCGTTTTATTTCAGGAATCGGATCATTGAGAGGCATTGCAAAACTCTTTTGGATTCATTGGGCTTGGAAAGAGTTTCTAGGCCAAACTTAGCAAATCATGAATGAAAAGACCAATGGTGGCCCACCGTTTCTAAGTAGATTGCAATTAGCAGATCGGCTGTCTTCATATTTAACAACTAATCAAAGAATATCAGCGATGCAAAGCGGCAACAAAAGATGGCATTCAACCGAAACAGCACTGAACTCTACTACTGATTTTATTCTTCGCGCGATCGACCAGAAGAAAATCACTGCAGTCGTATATCTTGATATGAGTAAAGCCTTTGACACTATCAACCACGTGATTCTTCTAAAGAAACTAAAGGACATTGGTTTATCATCTTCTGCACTTCAATGGTTCGAAAGCTATCTTTCTCAAAGAAAACAGGCAGTCCACATCAACTCTGTATAGATTAACAGTAGTCAGTGGTGTACCGCAAGAGAGTGTAGTAGGAGCATTATCATTTATGTAAACAACCTACCAAACATCTGTCAGGATTGTTCAACTGAGTGCTATGTGGATGACACAAAGCTTCTATTATCCTTTAGTGCGAATTATTCTACTGAAGCTATAGAAAGAGTGAACTCTGATCTGCAACGGATACACGATTGGTGTTTCGACAATTGCTTAATGCTTAATCCTGAGAAGACTAAACTGATGGTCTTTGGCAGTCGAAGAATGTCTCTTAAAGTACCAGACTTTAAATTGTCCCTGCTTGGAAAGGAAATCATCCCAGCTCAAACAGTCAGAGACCTTGGTGTTACTTTCGATCCCACACTATCCTTTGACAATCATATCTCTGCGACTGTCTCATCTTGCATGTTGAAACTATCCCAACTAAGCCGCATTAGATTCGCTTTTAACAAAGATCTGCTTGAAACTATAATTAACGCACTTGTTTTTAGTAAGATGTCCTGCTGTTCGTCAGTAAGGTCGTCCACATCAGCTTGCAATGTTCATAAGCTACAATATGTTCAAAATTTTGCCGCCCGACTTATTTGCAATGTAAAGAAGTATGATCATATTTCTTCCACATTAAGGAATCTACGTTGGCTACCGGCAAAAACCATCCTGTACTATCGTGATGCTACCTTATCATTTCAATGTATAAAGGGCCAAGTGCCTGAATATTTGACATCCGAGCTGGTAACAAGAGGAAACGTATCTGGGCGTATAACGAGGAACTTTCAACAACTTAACATTCCTCTTTTTAAAACTACAACAGGTCAGAGGACCTTTTATTATAGAAGTGTAGCCATCTGGAATAAACTTGACCCAAGATTGAAACTATATGAAAAACCAGCTCCTTTTAAGAGAGCTTTGAAAAGGTATCTCCTGAATGACTCTTTATCTAAATAAGCATTCTATTTATAAAGTTATAATTAATTTATATTGTATATAACAGGTTATTAGTTAGTTTTGTATGTATAGTACCAAGTATGTAAATTATGTAATTGTTCACTGAAAAGCCCCAGACGGAGATGTGTTCAATAAAATGTATGTATTTATGTAATTTCGTAAGTACATCATCTTAGACTTTCTCGTAGAAACTATGGGAGGAAATGGCGCACTAGCTGGACAGGGTAACTAACTAACAACTGATTTGTAGACCAGTCAAACAGCGGGTTGACTATGTAGCCTGCCAAATGATCACCTGGCTGAAAAGCTGAGTAAATGATAGTATGACTTGCTTACTGACTGAAGGGCTGACTGACTTTAAGACTGACTGACTGGCTTACTCACTGACTGATTGATTGACCGACTGGTTGACTGACTGACGGACTGACTGAGGGACTGAGAGACCGACTGATT